TTGCCTAGCCCACGCCATGCATATTTACAAATAAACCAGGCGAACCCAATCTCATCTGAGTACCTCAGGTATCGGCAGGCATAAGGCCAAACTGCGGCAACAAGCCGGTCTAGACTGTTAACTGTTGTTAACACTAAACAGATGAGTGGGTACGCCACTACAAATACAAAACATAAGAATGCACACCCTAGATATGCTAGGCAAAGACTGCGAACCATTCTGTCGATAAAAGTCATCTCGGTCATTAGTCAGCATCAATTCCACACAGCGATAGTCAAGTCTAACAATGGGACACTTGCTTAGTAACAATGACTTAAATCTTTTCTCCTTGAAAAGTTATAATATTTGATATTAAGAATTCAAGTACTGAGATATCTACAGATATATTATAGATATTGATGGACCTTATCATACAACAATATCTTAATAATTCCCCCTCATTAGTATTATTTCAGAATTAAAATTTTCAGCACCAAATGTTAGCATCAAAAATGAGGTGTTTCATTATAAAGTCTTCTATTTGAATTTTAAAAATCTCAGTTTTGTCCATCTGAAAATTTTCAAATCTATATGAATGAATACAAGCACATTCTATGTAGTATATTGTCTTAGTATCTTTTATTTTTGTTGTTGTTTAAAAAAAAATAGAGCAATCCATATTTAAATCTTTAGGAAATAAGAATACAAATATTTTACTCAATCAAATAAATATATGCCTTTTTATTACATAAATTTAAATATATATATATATATATGTGTGTTTAATCTAAAAGGCATATATTGGATCAAAATATCATTTATTTTACCAATATTTCAGTTGACTGAACGCTAACCTTTATCAAGGTATTATAACATATTAATGTGTGTCAACAACAAAATCAGCGCCACATAACGTCAATAGAATTATTATTTATTAATAGAATCAATATAAAACAAAATATATGTGTGGGTTCACTCAAATACAGATAAATAAAAAATTGAATAAATATAGTATATATAATTATATTGTAGCAAAGTGTTTAAAGTGCATCCTCTTTTTAAAATTGGGGATTAATCACATTTGATTTCTTCATTTTTTTTCCCAACAGAATAATCAAATTTGGGCTAATCAGTTGCTACATATTAAATCACATTAGGTTCGAAATTCATGATGATCGTCCCCCGCCGCTTTTATTTTCACTCAGATACATCTAATTGCTCAATGACAGAAGATACAATAATTTATTTTTTCAGTGCATTTGATAAAATCTTTTTTTAAATGTATTTTTAATTAATTATTCAATAGTATTATGTGTGTGTAAAGTACATCATATTTTTAAAATTGGGGATATAAATGATATTTGAATTCTCAATTTCTTTCCTAAAGAATAATCAAATATGTAAGACATAGAGAGTTAACTTCGCAGCTTCTAGTAGCGGCTAAATATAGCGGCCGAGTTATTTCTAGGCCAAGACGTCCTCCCTGCGGCTCGTCTCTCCTCTCCAACCTGCGACAAGTTCCAAATAACTTTATTAGGTGCCGCTCAAAAAGAGCAACCTAGATCATCATATTTATTATTTACTATGGGGGATGGTCTTCTTCTTTCTTATCACCACTAAATCATATTAGGGTATCAAGTTGTGACCCTTGATGGTGTCTGTTTGACAACCATCATAATTGAGTGAAGTAGAATGCGTCTGCCTTTGTCATTAAGACTGGGAGCACTACTCAGTGGCAGGCCGACTTAGCTCCAAAAGAAATGGCCGCCTCTGACATGAGGAACAGACGCCATGTGCAGCCGCTCCTAACAAGGAGTACAAACGCTGCTCATCTTGTATCCCTGGATCAGGAGCCCTTACAGGGTACTATCAGCCGGGCCAGCTGAGCCCAGGTTTTTTAGTGAGCTTGTTACTGCTTCCACTCCTTCTTTTTTCATTCGGGCTTGGGACCGGCAAGGGCTGAGTTGTGGGGGATGGTTATGTACAGGGGTTGATTTACAATTATAATTTATATTGATGTCGTTGGGTCTGGATTCTCAGGTCCTTGGGGATATTGTTCTTGAGAAGGTTTTCTCAACCTGCGACAGTATGGAGACTCAACTATGGAGACCCTATATTTAAACCTAATGTACGCTATCTGTATTTAGAAATTTTAATTATTTGTTTGTAAATATTTTGTTTTATTTATTCAGGTATTATAGAAGAATTATTGGTAGAGATATTTCTGTCAACGTTAAACATACAACATGTCTGACTCCTAATTTCCTCTTTTGAGATTCCAAATACAATTATGGTATAAAATAGAATACGAAAAACATATATATTGCATTTATGTTTGAGTCAAAAGGCGATCCATCAATTAAATTCATATAAAAGGGCGTACCTGGATCTGTAAAGAAAAAAAAAACTTTTTTTTCTCAAAATATTTCGAGAGATTGCACCCTCTTTATTAAATTATTGCACTGTGCAATAAATTGATAAAGAGGGAGCAATCTCTCGAAATATTTTGAGAAAAAACATGTTTTTTGTTTTCTTTTCAGATCTAGGTACGCCCTTTTATATAAACTTATTTACATTCATGATCGAATCGGAATTCTGATAAAAAAGTAAAATGTTACAAATTCAATTTCATTCTTTATAAGAAAGGCTAAAGAGTTTGTTTTCAAATTATATATTGCCACGTGGAAAAATAGGAAAGACAAACTCCAGTATGACAGCAATATATTTAAGGCAAAAACAAACTATGAATTATAAACAAAAGATAAGCAACGAGGGAAGTTTACAGAGTAACAAAATAAAACCATAAAAAAGAATACTCTGTTATTAAAATAATAAATACTTTGCTACAATATCTATTCGTATTTCTCAAATTGAAATGGAAACTCCTTTACTTATTCTCTATAATATTGTATATATATGTTGGTGGTTCTTATCCCAATCACGCCATGATAATCATGGTGAGTAGTAGGCTACTGCTTTTACTGCAACTGCACCACATGTCTACACATGTAGAATGCAGTTCGAATTTTGCACTTACAAATGAAACCAGAACCCCGTTTAGTTACTTGCAATTACTGATCGGGTTGGGCTTATGTAAGAATCGGAGTTCATTGAAGCAATTTATTTTTCGGAGAAAAGTTCCCAATGAGGGTTTCAATACCGTGTCGTGGCGGTCAAAAACGACGTCTTATATTGGGTTGATGCAAAAATAATGGCCGATTTGTAGTGACAACTTTAAAAAGCAATAACTCCTTACAAGCAAACCTTTATTAATCAAAATAAAAACCATTGGCATCAATACATCTTTGTCAACGATAAACAAGCTGGTATATTCCAGTTTTATAAAAATCTGGAGTTCTGGAGGCAATGAATTCATTGAAGGCCGTTTGGCATCACCTTGGTTTTTAAAACATTTCTCACCCAGGGAGTTGGCGAGATGCTTAAAAAGAGGTAGTCGGTAGGCTGGAGGTCGGGCGAGTATGGTGGGTGATCAAGAATTTCATAGCCCAACTCATTCAACTTTTGTCGTGTGATCATTGAGACGTGTTGTCGGGCGTTGTTGAGGCGAAAATAATAGGTCTTTTTGTGTTGACCAATCTCGGGCAGATACGGCGAAGTTTTTGGTGCATTTCATCGATTTGCTGATAATACATCACCCCAGTGATGGTTTCGCCTGGATTCAGGAAGCTGTGGTGGATCAAACCGTTCGTAGACCACCAAACAGTCACCATGACCTTTTTTTGGTGCGGTTTGGGCTTCGGGAAGTGCTTCGGAGCTGCTTCGCGGTCCAACCATTGCGCAGAACGTCGCCGGTTGTCGTAGAGAATCCATTTCTCATCACAGGTGACAATACGGCCGAGAAACGGCTCGTTCTTGTTGCGCAGAAGTAGCGCCGACGACACTTCAAAACGCCGATTTTTATGAAAAATCATTCTAATCGTGCGGCACCCATTTGTCGAGCTTTTTACCTTTCTAATTTGTGTAAGATGACGAACAATTGTCGACTGATAGACGTTGAGTTCTTCGGCAATTTCTCGTGTAGTTTTGGGTGTATCCGCCTCGATTATTGCCATTAATTGGTCGTTGTCAACCACGGACGGACGTCCACGGCATTCTTCATCTCCAAGGCTGGTATCGTCGTTGAGAAATATTTTCGAACCTGCGGGTGGTGCGTCGGAAGTAGTCCCTTGCCCTATCCTAGCCAAGACAAGTGCGAAACTATAAGCGACCTTCAGAGAATTTGCCAAAGAAATATATAAGAAACCTCTGGTTTCTCATATTAACAAAATTGGAGGACTTTGTAATTCCAATTAAAATAATAAAATTCGACCCACGTCTTTGACTGCTAATTATATATTCACAGCCTACTACCATATGAAGGCCCTCTTTGCCACTTGGGGACCCGTCTAACACGATTCACTACTCCCTCAGGAAGATTAAAATATATTGTTTTATGAATCTTATCGTACTTAAATGTCATACTCGTGAAAAATATTGTCATATGTTTCAAAGTACTGTAAATGAAGATCTCTTACTAAGAATCTAGAGTAGTAAAACTTGGCAACTAGAACAATCCTCCATGATAAAAATCATTGAGTACTTCTGGAAGTTATTTCGACATGTTAATTTCCCCATTTGTTCCTTAAAATCTCGAAGTAACCAGAGTGATGCCTTGCTAATCTAAACTACTGGTAACCAGAGCTCAGGCTCATCGTCCGCATGAGGCCTTTATTAAAAATAATAAATTGATTCCGTGGCCTCCAATTTTGCATAATTTTAACCCAAAAGTGATAAATGCAAGTAACGATGCTTGCTCCTGGTAATTTTTAAATGACTTAATTTATAATACAATATAATGCGGCTTATGATTTTAGAACGGCATTTGAAAATTATCCCTCGTGTGTTTATTTTGAACGAAAAATCGAAATTTATTCTAAGGAGAAATAACGATTATTTCTAACCTTAGGGATGAGATATGAAAGGATGAATTGTGAAGAGTAATGATAAACGGAAAATAAAAGTGTCCAGGAATGGGAATCGAACCCACAGTGTTCCGCTTACCAGGTAGATGCCATGTCCACTAGGCTATTCCCATCCCTGGGCACTTTATTTTTCCGTTTATCATTACTCTTCACAATTCATCCTTTCATACTTCATCCCTAAGGTTAGAAAAATAATCGTTATTTCTCATTAGAATACATTTCGATTTTTGTTCAAAAGAAAAACATGCGGGATAATTTTCAAACGTCGTTCTACAAATGACTTAATGTTTCTACGCGTATAACAATATGGTTTACTTACAATATATCCGTTATCAAATCTCAAATTACCATATTCATCATGCCCTATGCTATTCCTAATATATATTTCATCGAAAGATAAGAGAATCATACTAAAAAAGTGAAATATATATAATAGTAAAATATCTTTATAGAAGTAAAATAGAGGAAATGGTGCTAACATAAAGGAAGAGAAAGACATAAAAGGGAAAAACTAAGATGAATGGTTACCTAAAAAAGGAAAATATAAAAAGCATATTGCGAAAGGATAAATGATGAACGTTATTCAGGTCATTTGGGGCTGGTAACCATTTGTATAAATTGTTCTTTATCACTCAAATATATTTTATATGTAAATAGAACCATTGTGTTTCTATGTAATTTACTTGCTATATAAATTCTCCCTAGGATCTTATTTTTGTTGAATAACTTTTTCAGGCTTCTTTTTTTCGCTTTACTTCTTTTTTTTTCCCAGAATTACATATACTTGATCAATTTTGTATACCTTCTTAAATTTCATGTTTGACCTGTTTCCAACTTTTTATTATTCTTTATCACATTAAGGACAGTAAGAAGTTTGTATGATTTGAGAAAGAAGTAATTCGTTTTTTCTTTTATTTCTCGTAATATTGTTGCATCATGGCTAATGCACCTATTTTATTTTAATTTGTAATATTATTTTTGATATATTTTAAATTCAAATTTATATATTTTTTATTTTATTAAACAGAATATATGTATTATAAACAGATTTATGTATTACTAAGCGAATGACCCGGCTTCGCCCGAGAAATCCCTTGGGTGCAATTTCCTTCATACTAAAAGTATATCAATAATAAATATTAGAAGTGCCATAGAATAGCAATACAGAAGTAACACATAAACTACAGGAAAAAAGTGTGTGTGATGGCAAAAATTGTATTGTATTAGTGTTTAGGTATTTGATTCAATTAATATAGTTGATATAATAATATATATTTATATTATATATAATATAAATGAGTTTTAAAAATTGTTTTAAAAAAATGCATCGGCCGGGAATCGAACCCGGGCCGCCCGCGTGGCAGGCGAACATTCTACCACTGAACCACCGATGCTTTAAAAAAAAATGGCCATATTTAGGTATTCATTCCATTCCGGATTAGTCCGCGTAAAAAAAGTTCTTCAAATGAAAAAAAGAAATAGCCAAAAATACTAATCAAAATGCAGCCGAAAATTTTCCTCAGGTTTATAAAAAGCGACATGCAAAATTTGGTACCAATTGGTTCAGTAGTTTTTGAGTTTATCGCGAAACAGACAGACAGAAATTGACTTATATATATATAGATAGGGATAAAATCACCATATTTGTAATTTGGTACACTGTGTGACTTTACTGCTCTCTTTGATGTGAGAAATAAATAAATTATTCTGGAGGCTACTTAAACTAGAGTTATCTCCACTTATATAAATTTGTAGGATGGTTGAAACACGCTCTGGTAAGATGCAAGACCCGGCACAGGAGAGAATCAAGGTTGAAGAGCCTGCCAAACCGCAACCTAGTGCAACAATATTTATTTCTCATTTTACAGCTTATATTATGATAAATGAGAGCTCTTTTTATTGGCATTGATAAATAATTTAAAGAAAGAAGAGGCGATGAAATCATTAAATAATAAAAAGATTCTACAGAAAATAGGAAAGGATAAGAAGAAAGGGAAATCTTATTAATTTATATATTTCTTTTCGATTTGTTTATAAAAGGTCAAAGATAGCAATGAGAGAGATTGGGCCTTGGTATTCCATATGCAAATTTGTCAAAAATAGAAGAAAATACGTTATGGAGAAGGTTAGAGATTTCCGGATGAGCAAGTTCCAACATAAATAGTAGAGGAAGAGGGTAGGTACTGGAAAAGGAAATGAAATAGTGGAGGAAAATCTTGCGGAAACTATAAGAAAGAGGTCAGAATGTTTTACATCGTGATAGATCGCCATCTTTGGCAGGGCTTGAAATTTGGGCTTCGTGTTTTACCCAATATTTCTGGTTTTCCTATTACCAGCATGTCACTTTATCGAATGAAATACTTCTGGCATTCTATATACCAGCATATAACTTTAATTAATGGAATACATCTGGCATTTATCTGTCAGTATGTAACTTTGTTTGGCCGAATCGTTCTGGCATTCTATCTACCAGAGAATGTCACTTCATTTAATGAAATACCTTTGGCATTTCATCTACCATTATGTAACTTCATTTGGCCGAATCGTTCTGGCATTCAAAATGACAGAATGTCACTTAATATATTGAAATACCTCTGGAATTATATTCCCTAATATGCAAATTCATTTGGCCAAATCCTTTTTGCATTTCATCTACCATTATGTCCAAATCCATTCAGTATTCTATCTACTAGCATGTCACTTTATTATATTGAATACTTCAGCCATTTCATCTACCATTATGTAACTTTATTTGGCCAAATCCATTCAGTATTCTATCTACCAGCATGTCACTTAAATTAATTGATATACTTCTGGTTTTTTATCTAACAGTATGTAACTTAATTAGCCGAATCCTTCCAGTATTATATCTACCAGTATTATGTCTTAGGTCCCTTGTCGCGTTTACCTTTAGTCTCCTCAAATAATGATATCTTGCGATTCCTTCAATTGTAATGGTTGGAAAATATTGTTTCTTTCATTCCATTATGGCGTATCACCAGGAGATAGTCCAGCTGACCTAGATCTCCCACCCCGGCATAGTCCCTGGAGTTACACCATGTGACCACCTTCTCTCGTTCATCCTTCCTGCCATTGGAAGCATTTTGAAGTGAGCAATAGTTCGTAGTTTGATCTTTGTCTTGATACTTTGGGGGTTTCCTTTTATGTATCCTACCAAAAACATAGACTAAAATCAAGGAATCCGATATGGTCCAGAGGAAACCAACTTCTCTCCCAAAATTTTAATATCTCAGAAGCATGGACAAATTCCTGGATCAGCTCCGATATCCCAAACAAGAACCTCATCACAAGCCCAAGTGTCAAGATCCCAGGTTTTTCCCTCCCTCGACGAGAATGGGTGCTTCTAAACCGCTTTAGGACAGGACAGGGAAGGTGTGCAGAGCTGATGAAGTTATGGGGCTACACCAAAGATCCAAATTGTGCCTGCAACGTCCCACAATCAATGTCCCATATACTAGATGACTGCCCGCTGTACAAATTCAATGGAGGAATCTCCAATCTCCACTCTGTCACCCCGGAAGCCCTGAACTGGCTGAAGGCCTTGCCTCTCAGACTTTAATGACCGAGAAGTCCTCACTTCTTTTTTCTAGATTTGATTCATTTTGTCTCCTCTCTTATTGTAAAGACGTTGCTGTATCACCTCATAAGCATAAATAAATAAAACCAAAAAAACGCGGTGGTGGTGCTTATCTCTCTATACAATGTCTAGAATTCCACTCTTCTCTAGGTGAGAAGAGTAGAATTCATACGGAGTAATTGGGTGCTTTTTCTGTTGATAGGAACATCTGAGGTACACAAAGGTAGTACTATGTGTGTTAACATTTAGCTGGGCTTAGTAGAACAGCCTTCATTTCTAGGGTACCAGGAGTGCAAGACTCCAGACATACTGTCCTGTTCAGGATCACTTTCTCGACCCGCTGAGGCGGTAAACAGGACTTGGGGAGGCCGATAAACGTATTCAAAGATATTTTCACATAGAGAGAGAGAGAGAGGGAAAATTGAAAAAAAGTCAAACTTAAAGATAACATGGCAATATATTTTGATCAAACCAATTACCAACTTATTTACATGAAAGAACAGGGAGAGAGGAAATGAGAAAATGTTACTGAGTAACGAAATATTTGAAATGATAATTTAAAAAATATGTTGATTAAATATAAAAATATTATTGCACAATATTATGACATTCGCCTATTTGAATATACAAGTCCTCTGACCAAACAAGCTTGATTTATTGAAGTCCACCACTGCTTTTTAGCCTTTTCCCGACGTATAATGCTATAATGCTTTAGTCCTTTCTTTGCTTCTCATTATACTAACCACAGTGGTAGAGGTGGTAAGGCGGTTTAACCTGTAAGTAACATAAGAACCGGGTTCAAAACCCGCACTGACACAATTCTTTTTACATTAATTTCCTTCAAAGATAACTGAATATGACACAAGTCCAACCAGTGACTGTAAGTAATCAAATTGGACGTGTGAAAATATAATTATATCTTTATACTGTTAAAGAATATATTCCTCTTTATCTTGGTAGCAAATGTCACATAAGTTCTATGAGATTATATCTGTAATTGGAGACATACTCTCGTGGACAAAACTTGAGTAAGTTGTACCTTTTAGCATGTATACCGGGAAATATAACTGATTCTAATTGTGTAGACATGTGGTGTACTTGCATGATAAGTTTGCCTTACTACCCTGATTATCATAGTATGCATCCATGCGTACTTAGAAAATAAAAAATTCAATAATACACAATGTATAAAATGATAAATTGACCAACCTAATTTATACTATGATACATTAGCACGCCATCTGTTATGAAAATTCGAAACTATTATAGACGTGTATGATTCTTTTTAAAAATTGAACAATTTCTACTCATCTCACTGCAATGGAAAATTTAATGGGAGGGTTCACCACGGATGAGCCAGGCCCTCCCATTAATTTTTCCATTGCAGTAAGGGCAGTAGAAATTGTTTTATTTGTAAAAGAATCATACGTGTCTATAATAGTATCGAATTTATACCATAACTCCTGTGAAATAATTCGAATTTTTATTCTAATTTTGTACAACAATGGGTGACCCAGTTATGA